AAAACTGGATCCAGGCGACATCTTGGAAATCCATGGTTGAAAATCCATCCAACCTACCTCAGATTTAAAACAAATACTGTATTTTATCCTGGTTTTGACTGAGTTATGAATTCTTTAATTTTTAATAAAAGTAATAAAAAATAGTTTATTTGGTCTAGTATACGTTTTCACTCGCCTCTTGCAGTTTGTTCTGAAAACTAACACTGCCGCGAGATTCAGCATAGTTGATAACCTATGTTTCATTCATTTCTGACAGTCCCAAACCTAACGGCGGAGGGATGCTAAGGCTTCAGGAAAAACATCTATAGCTTCCGAACCATGGATTTCCAAGATGTCGCTTGAATCCAGTTTTGTAGAGAACACGTCGGACTATATATCTATGAAAAAAGGTCCATAGATTTTTATGTCAGTTTTCAGAGAACCGAACCAATCTCCTGAAAAACCGATCGTAGAAATTCTTTTGCAAGTTCGTTTTTGCTTATGAAAACATACCTACAGGCCTTGGCTAGCACATGATGAAAACCGCAAGTCTCTATCTTTTACTTCTTTTGAATTATTCAAAAAGTTAGCGATGGCCTTGTATTTTGGGACGGATTGTAGTATTGAATCAAAACGTGCCAATTTAACTAGTCGACTCAAATCACACAATTCCGACGAGTTACCGACTAGTCTACACGTCGGAAAGTACGTCCAAAATGACACTTCGAAATATACGTACAGATTAGTCGAAAACATGAAGTAGCCGACAAGTGGTCCCAAAATGGCACTTCGACGAGTCGTTTTCTACCTACGACTAGCGATGAAAAGTCAAAATCGACTAGTCTTTTTGCTAGGCGAACGTCTGCATGGGAGGGAACACTACCGGTGATAGTCAAAGCCTTCATAGATGCAACCATTTTAGTTACGAGATCGATCGATAAACATCCTTAACAATGTCCGATTCTCCAGTCGCATATCTTCTTCTTCTTTGGAATGGTCAATGGATGAGACATGGGTACAGAAATAAGAAACTTCATTTCATTGCAAGGATGGTACACTGGTGCAGACTGCCACATATGATGAAGGTGTAGTGTCAACAGCATCAAGTGGATAGATGTCTTGTTATTCGACCTATTGACAATAGACTCTGTTTTCATAATGTATCGTAGCGATTCAGGTATTTAGAATCATCGGTTGGCTGTCAGGTGTAATTGATCAACTCCATTGTACTGCAGTTCATTCAAACATGTTCCAGATATGTGATGTGTTTCGTCGAAACTATGATTATTTGACTTAATACTTCACGAAGATAGTAACTTACCTGAATGATAACTCTGTTATTTTCTAAACGATCAATATCACAATAAATCGAGAAATGTATATGGTGTGAATAACTAAAGAAATTAAAATTAAATTAGCTTTATCGAGCAGCTAAACAAAGACTAAAGTATTACGTAGTTCGATTTGTTTTCTGCGTTGCGTTATGCATTATTACTTTTCTTTGTAGAAGTTTCAAGAATAGAACATCTTCATATCGAGATTGTGTATAGACAGCGTTCATCGTTGATAAGAAAATATGTGATTTGACATTCGGAGAATGAGATGACTATAGTTTTGATATTAGTGATGGTAGAAAATAAAAATGCTTGATAGTAGTCAGTTCTGTAAGTGAAATGATCGCCAGCATCAAAACTATTTTCATCTCCCTCGCCAAATGCAATATCCGCTGATCAGTAGTTCCGCGCATGACGCTGAAGCACCGACACTTACACGCAAAATTAATTATAAAAACAAGAAAAATTAATGGTCGAATAAAAAATATGATAAAAGACTTCAAACTTGTTTCACGTGAAGATTATTTTAAAATGGCTGGATCAGTGTTTAATTTTTTAATGTTCGATTCACTGTCCACGAACCGCACAGTGTTACTTACTGGTGTTCTTTCTTTAATTGATGATATGATCAAACGACGTGTAGCAAAAATATGATATAAGAACTTCAAATGTTCTATCTGGTTTGATTATGGCAATGGGTGTGAAATTGTCTGCACATAATAATCTTTCTTGGTTACTACCCATTTCAAAATATAGTACAGTCCATTATTTTTCTAAGTTGATAATAATTTCATAAAGGAAAAGATTAATTGTATGAGTTCAACAATCATTATTTTAAAACTTTTATTTAAAACAGGAGCTTTCGATTACAACTGTAATCATCGTCAGCTACATTTAAACGAAA